CATAGGAGGATGGAGCGGGCGCGGAAGCAGCTTGAGCATAGCTAGGCGCAGCGTAAGATGCTGGATCAGTCGAAGGAGCTGGTTCTGGTGCAGAATAAATGGCTGGATCATAGCTGGAAGCCGCATGAGATGACGGCGCAGGTGCAGGTGCGGCATACGAAGCTTGAGCATAGCTAGGCGCAGTGTAAGATGCAGGAGCAGGATCCGGGCTAGCATAAGAGGCTGGAACGGGCGCAGGAGCAGGTGCAGGTGCGGCATATGAAGCTTGAGCATAGCTAGGCCCATCGTAAGATGCTGGATCAGTCGAGGAAGCCACATGAGATGACGGTGCGGGTGCAGAGCAAGGTACAGGAGCAGGTGCTGGTGCAGCATAAGAGGCCTGGCCATTGCTCGAGCTTACGTACGATGCAGGAGCAGGCGCAGGGGCAGGTGCAGGTGCGGAATAAGAAGCTTGAGTATAGATCGGAGCAGCGTAAGATGCAGGAGCAGGATCCGGAGCAGCATAAGAGGCTGGAACGGACGCAGAACCAGCTGCAGGTGCGGCATACGAAGCTTGAGCATAGCTAGGCGCAGCCTGAGATGCTGGATCAGTCGAAGGAGCTGGTTCTGGTGCAGAATAAACGGCCGGATCAGAGATAGAAGCCGCATGAGATGACGGCGCAGGTGCAGGAGCTGGTGCTGGTGCAGCATAAGAGGACGGAGCATTGCTGGAGCTTACGTACGATGCAGGAGCGGGCGAATGGGCAGGTGTAGGTGCGGAATAGGAAGCTTGCGTATAGCTCGGACCAGCGTAAGATGCTGGACCAGGTGCAGGAGCAAGGGCGTGTATAGCATACGAGGCCTGAGTAGCATACGCTACGGGAGCTTGATCTGGGGCATCATAAGAGGCTGGAGCGGGCGCAGGAGCCGGAGCAGGTGCGGTATAAGAAGCTGGAGCATAGCTAGGCGCAGCGTAAGATGCTGGATCAACCGAAGGAGCTGGATCTTGTGCAACATAAGAGGTCTGAGCGGAGTCACGAGTTGGGGGCGGAGCTGCATAGGACGCCTGAGCAGAGCTAGAAGCGGCGTAAGATCCTGACTTAGGGCCAGTGGCCTGAGCTGGCGCTGAATATGTGCAAGGTGTTGATACTGGAGCTGCGTAGGAAGCTTGTGCCAAGCTTTTAGCTGAGTAGGGAGCAGGCGCTGGAGATGGTGCTGCATACGATGTTTGAGTAGATGCAGAGGGAGATGATGGTGTTGGTAAAGGCAAGTACTGATTAGATGTCAAAAATCGCCACGGATTTTGAGCAGTTCCTGGATTCAGATATCGAGGCAATAAAGATGGAGCCGCTTGTGCTACAGATGCTGAAGAATACTGATTGGATGGCGCATTGTATACAGCTGAGTTGGTAAATGCAATTAAAGCACCAATCAGGATTATTGAAAACATTTTCAAAGCAATTTAGTTGCAGCTGATGCAACTTGGTTGAGTGGTGGAATTGTTGTACTGGAGTGTCAGTGGTTTGTAGAGCTTTTATACCTAGTTACTGAACTAATTAATTAATATATCTACTAACGAAATTGAGCTAATCAATTGATGAATGTGCCTATGTAGTATGGAAACAATCTGCCTAGTCGCATATAGCTCTTTGGAATTGGCGAAGAGCATTTCGCTGTGCCTCATGTGGGGTATTTATCACGAGGCTGCTTGCTGTGCCGGCGTTCTTCAACTGCAAGTACATACATATATGGATTTACATACAGATGTACGTGCTTCTTAGCTCGCAATAAAAATAAATATAAAAACTTTTTATCAACTTTGAAGAAATGCGTTCTTTGACGCTTATTATTTTATGAAGTTGGCGAAATTAATAGGCCACAAGATCGATTTAACCTCAATGCTTAAACATTTTGAGCCATGTGGAATACTTAGCATAATTATTTGGAAATTTCCTATTGCCACAGTACAGATACTTTTAGTTAATATGTATAAATGCAAATCATGAAACAGTAATCATAATTTTCCTTCTTCTATTTTCAGGTGAGTGCTTATAATTGTGTATCTATTAGATGCGATTCATTGAAACAGGGTGGTATGTTATTTGCATGCATACTTAATATATTAATGCGTTTTAGGATGGCCCTTAAAAAACATAAAAATCTAAGTTGTGTATGGGACACCCTTAATTTTTTACAAATATAAGATATAGACTTCCACGAAAATTTAAAGAATTTTAAATAATAATTAGGGGTCACCTTCAAAGTGTGAAAAAATTTAAATCTGATGAATTTTTTTTAACCTTATATAAACTGTGAAACTTTGATTAATATAGCCCTGGTCACATTAACATCGAAAAAAAATATAAAAAAATGTTTTTTCTGAACAGCGGTCGTCCCTCGGCTGACAATGGCAAACCTCCGAGTGTATTTCTTCCATGAAAAACAGCTTCTCATACAAATACAATCGCCGTTCGGAGTCGGCGCAAAACTGTAGGTCCCTCCACTTTGTGTGACAACATCAAGGCGCACACCACAAGTCCGAGGAGAAGCTCGGCCAAACACTACCATATATGTAAGCGCCAATCTATTATTATTATTATTATTATAGAGTGAGTTATATTTTCATAAATATAATTAACGCAACAAATTTTTCATGAAAATATTTATGAATATTATAATAGAACATGGTGTGTAGTGGGTATTATACCCCCTAGAGAGCTCTAGTTTGACGAAGCCTCATGTAGTTTCGCTAATGCAGTTTCCTCAGTTTTGTGTTTTCCTTAGCGGTTTTGGATACCGTTTGTGTACCACTGTAGTGTACTCGCTTGGATGTATCTCTCTATAGAAGATATTTAGTATGGACTTCCTGAGCTCATTTTCTCAATATGTGAGATTTACACATTTTGAAACCTTTTTGGGACCCCTAAAAATATTATTAAGTTTTCAAATTTTCGTGATTTTTTTAATTTGTACTTATAATAATTTTCCACCTATAAGATTTCCCATATAAAATTTAGATGTTGATATTTTATCTTGGAATGCTGTTTCAGCAGGCTAATTATTAAATTTAGCCAATTAGATTATCACAGTGAAATATTAATATCTTTTTCCTTATCTGAATCGCTTTGAAATTGACACGAAAATAACTATTTATGTATGTATTTTGGAAATTTGTTTTCAGTAAATAATTACTCGTCGATGACAGAATAATTATATTACAATTAAAAAAATTATCAGAATACATATTGAAATAATGACGTTTTTAATGCAATTATTTTTTTTTTGAATTTCACGGAAATTTGAAAAAATTCATGTGTCGATTTTTCGTGTAACTATAAGGTCCTCATTAGAAAGTTGTTTATTTTCGACATCAATTTAGCATCTTCCAAAGCATTTCTGTTCACTCTATGGTTACTCTTAGCTTGATACTGTAGAGATAAACCAAAACGTGGTTCAGCTTGCTGTCTGATGCCTCTTGACTTCTGCCTCAACTGCAATTCTCTAGTGGAGAAGAAATTTTTTAAATTTAATCATATGACGTATCGAAGTCTATGCGGAAGGTGTCCCATTCTCGGCTGCGGTTCAAAAACGCCCTATTTCGGAATTCGGTTCAAAAATACCCTATCTCAGCAAATGTTTGAAGAACGCCCTATCTCAAAATGTGGTTCAAAAATGTCCTATGTCCTATGATTAGCCGACAATGTTAGTCTGCAGTTTGGTGGCCATCAAACATAAATCGCATGGAATTTTATCAGCGCAAACCCCTAAGGTTAGGTTATGATGATTGGCCAGCAAAGACAAATTCCCGGTCTATACTTTTTTTATTAACCAGACCCCTAGCTTGAACACATGCGCTGTGCAACCCGCTTGGCTATCGACGTACGCTGACTATGCACGAGGTAACCGTTGCGGCAACCAACATACATACATACCTTAAAGTAGCTTAGACACGAAGCAACAGTCAAAGTCCCATTGCTCAGTTCAACGGTTATCAATGATTACATCGTGTGTAGTCAGCATTACTTTCATCTACATAACATGCATTAACCTCTGCCATATTTTGCTTGACATAGAGCGAAATATTCAATGATGTCTTTCCAGAAGCCATTGTGAAGTCGCTCATTCAGTGCCCCAGACGGAATTCATAAGGCTCCTGCTTGAGAGAAAACCTATGTCCTGAGAGATGGGAAGGCGTGTCCATAACATTTACCCACTCTCAACGGAGTGAAGCTCTTATGCCCTGGAGTGATTCTCGGCTGGAATTGGAATCTTACGTATCATTCCAAGAAAGCCATGACCGCCTTATGCGCCTGGGGTCTAAAACCAAGAAATTCTTTTCTATGGGCTTACTGTATGGTGGCTAGCTTTAGAAAATTCCACAAAAGCGGGCTGTTTCCAAGTTAATCACGCGAGCCGTATCCTCCACCTAAGTCGCTTATAAATATGCTTCTTATCGAATTTATCGGTAGGTTTCAGGCCACCTTCAACGCAGCCAGATTGAACGCAAACTCATACCTTAGGTTAGCTTAGGCTAGGTGCCTTACGCCACCATAGGCCCATTGTGATGCCAGATTAGACATCCCTCGCGTCCCTCCTTCTACCTTAGAGGCAAAACTAATTTGTAGCTATAGCAAATTCAGTTCAGCCAGGCATCCAAAGTAATAATGGAGGACCGAGCGTCGACGAGCCCTCTCCAATGCGTGGCGGTGGGGTAGGTAATGCCTCACACTTTCGATTTCCTCCTCATCATGGCAGCTATGGCAGTAATCGTTTGACGGCATTATAGCGTTCTAATAGCGTTGGTTCCCATCAGGCAATACCCGGTGTGAACTCCAATCACATGTCGGAGCATCATTCGCCCCAAGCGTAGAGGGCGACAACTGAGAAACCTTTGGTTTGGTCTTTCGGGAAACTCTTGGCTCTTTTCCACTTATAGTACGTTAACTGTACTGCACCAGTACACAATTCAGTATTGAAACGGAAGAGAAGAGAAGCCGTACTGACTTGTTCTATCGGCTGGCCTGGTCTTTTGCCATTTATTATGACGTTCCGCTATCTTCATACAAACACCGAGTCCGATCAGTATTCCATGAATTGGCAAATGAAAAATTAACAAGAGAACATAACATTTACTCTGGCCAAGTATAAAAGGAACAATATCTACCCTAATCTTTATTAATCGTCCCATTTTCGATGCAGTGGTACGCACTATTACTGGCCACTACTTAAGTTGAACATGCGGATGCAAGCAAACGAGAACTTCATTTCGTTTTAATAGTTATTACTCCCAGAGTTCGTCTGGTTACAAATCTGAAGAATTTTCTCTCTTTTTAATAGTTATTACTTCTGCTTTTATATCTGAGGTCTATCGAAATCTTCAACCTGCAGAAAGGGAATAAGAGATCGCACGTGTGGCATAACGATGGACCTAACTGTCCTTGGTTTGTTTCTCTCCCAGTTGTGCAGGGTTTAAAGCACCGTAGTATAACCTTACCCATCTTCAGTGTCTTATGGTCTAGAAACCGTTCGCAATTAATCTCCGTAAGAGCTAGCTTTTAAAATTGTTTTGGAATAAACTCTTTTTTGAAACAATAAGCCAAAATTTTGAACCAAAAAAATACTGCAACGGAATTTTATTTTTTTGCAAGTTAAGAGGAGAAACGCGCACCATTTCCTATTTCTCTTATTTGAAAATAAGTTTAAAAGCTTCAATTTGGATAAAAATATTTATTTTACACAAACATTTTTCGAATAATATTTTTACTTATTTTTTTTTCATTTAACTACTAACTAGCATTTTCAATGGGTCGGGAATCTTACAGCTACATACATACATACATTCATACATTGATAAACACAATCACACTGCACTCACATGTACAATTAGAACGCAATTTGGATTAAAAAACGTGAAATTACTTATACGATCGTTTTCCTTTCGAGCCATGATATTCGATAACCATATAAGTTGGCTGATAGTACAAGGGCGTAAGATATTGTGAACCACTGCCTACATTTGTCTGCCTATTGTCAATCCATTTTCCAATCAGAGCAGTGAGGCCGGGTGCCTTCACTTCGGAAATGTATGGAAGTTCTTCTCGTAAACCGATTTGAGCCGCTGGATGTGCTGGTGCTGCTGTTAGGCACGCTGGCGAGGAAGTGTAAGTATTTTGTTGAGACGATCCTGTATATTGATTTGAAGCTGCGGATGGGTCTTGCGCAGGAGCTGAGTAAATACCCAGTTCTGTACTTGGCGTCTGCGACTGTGAGGCTGAGTATGTGTGTGATGATGAATCTTGATTGGAGGTTGTGTAAGGGGCTGGCTCCGCCGCTGGTGCTACGCATTTTTCGGCGGATGTGTACGAAGCTGGAGCTGCTGATAGATCTTGGCTAGGGCTAACATAAACTTCCGAAGTAGGTGCTGGTGCCGCATAGTGTGATTGAGGGTCT